TGCTGGGGGCAGCAGGGCAGGAGGGGTGCCGGGGCCCTCCGAGTGCCCCCCGCCTCCCGTTCTGCCATCACCTCGCTCAGAAGCTCTTCAGTGTCGGGGGCCAGGAAAGTTGTGCTTGCTCTCCGCCCGCCAGCTCCGCGAGGTGCATGCTGACACGCTGGGACAGTGCGGTTCAGAAGTTGCTACGCACCCCCAGGAGACCATGTATGATGGGGAAGAGTATTGGGAAGGGTGTTTATTTGCTGAACAAAGCTGTCAGTTCTCCTAGGAAATGACAAACTTTGGCAAAATCAGAGAAGTAAACTTCTCAACTGAGTAAATCTTTTAAAAGCTAGTTTCGCTCCCTTAGACTTGCATTTGCTGAATTTGTAAGTAACATACTAGATCAATGTTCTTCTAAGTGCAAAATCTTTGCGATAACTTCTGTGCCCCTTAGTTTTTTGCATATTACCTCTGGAAGGAAGCATAATACATGAAGCAAGGTAGGCTCCTGGTTTGAAAGGTCTCCTTCAAACCAAAGCTAAGAACTTGGTCAGGTCCAGACTCTTATTTCTGCTCAAGACGAATGGGATAGAAAGTGTTAAGACGCTGTATTTGAGAAAGTGGGTTTAGACAGGCAATTTTAAGACCCCAAAATAGACCAGCAGCTGGAGTTTCTCCCCTTCCCTTTTCGCATTTTTTGGATTACAAATGGAATAATATCTGCTTCAGTTATTCCTGGCACACAGACGCCCGCAAAAACACACACACCTTTTAATATATGGTTGCTAGGTTGCTGGCTTGCTTTGACGTACAGTGAGCTGTCTTCCCCTTTCTCCTATCCCCTCCCCCTAAACACACTTGACATAGCATAACCCAGCTGTACAAAGGAACTAACACTTACGGGAAACCAGAAAAAAGTTACAGAGTTTGAGAAGTTTGGGTACTTTTCTTTCCTTGTGTTAGCTAAGTATCAAATTAGGATTACCTGTATGTTACACAAGAACCTATCTGTTAAAATTGGAAGCAGAACAGTTGTAAAAAACTTGTCATATCTGTGGAAGAAATGATTGTTAGCAATACAGAATAAATAGAAACTTTCAACTCAACTTTTAAGTTTCAGGAAACATACTAGGCAATATCTCTTCTGTAGAGACATTATTTATTTCATTCAAAACCAAAACCAAATCTGAACTTTGTCTCAGAGACATATTAGCTAGCTATGATGGTAAAGCTAAAAAAGAATTTGTGATAGTAAATAAGTTTTGTAAAATACTGTTTCCTATCATAGTAAAAGGAAATCCGTAAGAAAGGAAGGGGTAGCTATGATTTGTCTTCAGTTTCTTCTGTGTATATTTAGCATTTTCCTCTCCTTGTGATGAGACAAATCTGCAAGGACTATAAGAGGTCCCAAAGAAGAAGGAAATCCTAGAGGCTATCACCTGCTACTTTGCTTGAGAGAATAAAAATTGGAGTTAGCTGCTTCTGCACAGACTTCCTATGCATAGTGTCTTCATGGATATCTGCAGTCTGATAGTCCATTCATGAGAAATAGTCAGTAAAGCAGATCATCCATCTCTTAAACAGTATAGAAAGGCATATCCAAGTTGTCTTTAAAACATCTCAGACAGGCTAAATGTATCAGTTAGCTAAATAACAGCTGTCATCAAGGGGTCCCAGCACTTGCAGTTTGAATGATTTGACAGAGTACAGTTATGTCAGACCGTAAGATTTATTTCATGTTTGGTACCTAAAGTAGCTACATCCAGGAATATCATTCCCAGGGGCAGGAGAATGGAGGACTCTGCAGGTAGGGGGAGATATATGTCACTTTTTAGATTGTCTATTGCACTGGTAAGGTTGTCAAGCCTTTAGTGAAGAGTAACTTCCAAGGCCTGATTCTTTCACACTAAAATGGGGAATCAGGGCGAGTTGTGTATGTGTAATGAGTAAGTAGTTTTTGCAGAACACTTTTCTAATAGTTAGGGTTTACAGGCTAACTGAAGTAAAAACTGGTAATGCCTTAAACTTTGCTATTACCAAACACATCCTTTGTGCTGCTTGACAACTTGGGAAGGGTTGCCAAGGCTGCAGGTGAAAAATGTGAACGAGCAGTTGTGCTATGTCTACTATATTGGAGCTCGCAGCAAAAGTAACTTTACAATAAGTAGTTCCTCCTGCTATGGAACTGAAGAAGCTTTTTGCATGTTAGGACCTTTTCTTCCCTTTCTCCCGCTCCACAGGTTGTATTAGTGCTGGGTAATAGTGCTGTAGTGCTGTCATAGTGCTCTCATCATCTGCTTAAAGAGTGCTCCCAGCGAGTGAGCTAAAAGAACTCTCTCATGTCTGCTTTCTGTGGTTTCTTACTAAATAATTTGCATGTATACTAAGAGTCACAGGGCACAGGGTTACTGTTCACAGCCGTGTTCATATATGTTATTACAATGAGCGGAAAAAAAAATATTTCATTTTTTCCCTGCTATATTCTTAGCAGAAAACTGTGTTCCTCAGGCTAGTAGGTGATTGTCAACTTTATTTTATGGATGTAGCCCTTTTAATGGCTGCACAGAAGGATTCAGAATGCTTTTTTCTCTTTAACTTACTGAGTTTAAGGTTGGTTTTTGAATTTTTAAAACCTGTTATGAACACTCTGTTTAACACTTTGTGGTATGAAATTCCATTATAGTATTTCGTTTTTCTTGGAGATGTGTACTGAAAGTCAAAAGAGTATGAAAACTTCTGATAACAGAATGATAACATTGCTTCTTAAAATTCCAGATCCAATTTATGCCATTGTATACTAATAGCACATTAATATTAATCATGGACAAAAAAAAATTGCTGAAGTTACAGGATGTTTTATGCTCCATGCTTGCTTTGTGAGATGGTGTTTTTTAAAATCTGCCAGAAAGAAAAATGTAAAATTTGACCTATGTCAGTGTTTCATGTAATATGAGGGTGTTTACAATTGAAGCTTGTATTTTTTCTTTATCTAATGTGGTATATACTTTAAGATTTGATTTTTGCAAAATTAACTACAGTCATTTTGTAGAGACTTAAAAATGCTCTTTGTTTCTCAGTGTTTGCATCTGCATTTTAAGAAATGCTTAGGTTTTGTTAAAGAAATTGTCTTCAGTTTGCTTCCCCCCCCCCAACTCATTCCTAACTTTATATATTAAAAGTATAAAGTGAGATTGATATTAGATGGGCTAGACGCTGACACCATTAGTTGCTGTTGTTTATGGGAATAACAGAAAAAGAAAATAAATATGTAACATTAAGTACAGTTACCCCAGTGGCTAAATACATATTACAAAATCTGTAATTCTTTTGATTATATGGATCTGCTACTCCATTTTCCATGTTCCTGAAGGGCATTTTCTACAGACGTTACGTAATACTATGTTTTGGCTTTGAATAAGCTCTTAAACAAGGAAAAGGTGTAGTGGAATGAGAAAGCACAAGTTTGGAGCACAACAGGCTCCTGAAGCCAGCCAGGTTCAGAACGCAGTGAAACTTACACACCCCTTTGAAGAGTGGACCCTGTGTCACTGCTCCTTGGTTCCCCAGAGACCAGAACTCATTTTTCACCTTATACCGTCAAGAGTCCAGCAGGTACAAGGTATCTTTATCACTGTGCTCATGTTGGAGCATTTTCAGTTTGCTGAAGACTTCTTTTCCTGCAACCCACTACTCTATGAAATGAAACTCAGTTACGATTATAGGTGGCAATCACTTGCCTCAAGTGACTCGCCACAGTAGTCTTCTTTGATATTAGATTGCATATTTCAGAAGTTTAATAAATTATACAGTGCTAGAAACGATCAGTTTCTGTCAACATTCCTGTTTATTTTGAATATAAAAACTGAAATTTCAGTGGAAGTAAAATATTGGTAGATATTTCCTTTGAGAAGTTAAGAATTTTCATCCAGGCCTAAGAAGCCTGGGAAAGTTTGTAAGGGGAGAAATGGCAGTTTTCTGTAGGGGAAGAAATGTTTCTACCAAACTGGCTCTCAAATAACCAGCTTTATTGGAATTCCTAGCAATACCTGTGGAAATCTCCTCTCCTAATAAAATTAAAGAAAAAAACCCAATTAAGGAGACAAACCCAAAACAAGGCACTGTGTATTCTCATAACTTCAGAGAAGTATAAGAGTACATTTGGGGGCACATATGGACATATAACATAGGAGGTACCTGTATTTTAATCTGTGTGTAGCAATCTCACTTAGACTCTCTCTAAGATGTACTGAACAGAAGCATAGGAACAACTGGAAGGCTCAAGAGATTAGTAGCGGACTGCAGGGCATTTCACTCCTTAGTCACATGCTCAGTCTGGCTCAAGAAATTGAACCGCTACTGTCTCATGGCTATCAGGTGGTCTGTGTGTAATTACTCCATGAGCCTCCCACTAGACAGGTTGCCAGTTGAGATATGGGCATGTTCGAGAGGTCAAGGACTGAAAAGGCTGGGAAAGAAAAGGCGCTTACAATTCTCTTCAGTTGGTCTTTCTACAAATGCAAAAGGCATAGATATGGAGAGATGTATGCTGCTGTTTGCCACACTACTGATCTTCTGTGAAAAAGACATTTTTAGCTCTCTGGAGCTCCTAATGGATTTCATGTTTTATAAACACATGATGAAATTGATTATGTATGCAGAAAAGAAAAGGTATGGACAAGGATTTAAGCTTTAAACTGAAAAATCTTGACGGAAATGTTATTTTAATGCAGTATCATACTTACTTTCAAGGCTTTGCAACACATAACATTTAAGGAGAAAATCCATGCTCAGAAAGAATTTGCAGCTCTCACACATTTGCAGATCTGTAAGTGCTGGTTGGAAACCATTGGATTTCACAATGTTTTCCGTTTTAGCACAAGAGAAGAAATGTCTATAATAGGGGACAAAAGGCTTTTTAA